TCCGAAGTGAATTGAGCTCTTCCACTCCTGTTCCACCCAGGCCTCAGTAGCCAGCCATCAGATGGCAGCAGCTTCTCGGCACCACTGTGCTTAGCTGGCTTTGAGCTGGGATGCTCATCTGTCAGTATCAGCCTCGTCTGAAACAAACTGCCAGCTGCTCAGACTGGAGCTGGGATTTACAGCTTGATTTTTCTCTCTTCCCCACAGGTGCCAGCTGTTGGAGTCCCTTTCAGTGTATGTGTGGTAACAATATGTCTGTCCCCCTCCTTGCTGATGCGGTGACTGTTTCAGGGGCAGAACGGGAGACTGCAGCGGTAAGGATGGGCTCTGCTGTAGCCTGGGTTGATCAGGAAATTAACTGGCTTTTTTTCTTTCCCGCTGTTGATATTAAATGCAAAGGAGGGACAGTAGCCCTCTAGCTTAGGCTCATCTTGAAATAGTGAGCTCAGAGGGGCAGCCTCTGTAAGGTTCAAGGTGTCTCCATCTCTTGAAATGAAAAACTTATGCTGCTGTTTGCATAGGACCTGCCCCAAACCAGTGTGCTCTCTTGTGCTCGCTGGGAACACGTAGCTAGCTGGCTTTAAACAGGCTCCCCACAAGCATCGGATCCACCCGCCCCCTCTGCTGCTGCCTCTGATAGAGAGGCAGTAGTGTGAAGGGGGCAGGCTGGAGCTAGTCCTAGGGGGGGTTGGCTTAAAAGCCAGTTCCCCCCCAGCACTAGCTCGGTAGTGTGTGGAGAGGGGAGGCTGCCACGAAGCAGCCTCAGTCCATGGGGCAGTGTTTCCCAATTTTATTTGGCCGAGGAACCCTTTTCAGCTTTTCAGAATTTCAAGGAACCCCTAGGTTTGTCAAGCAAAGAAAAAAAAAGAGAGAGGGACCCACCTATTCATGAAAATCACATTCCTTCCCCGAGACCCCCCCACCCACCTCCCTTCCGTGAGGCCTCATCTGCTCTGTTCCCCTCCTCTCCATCACTTGCTATCCCTAGCCCTTATACCTGTCTCAACCTAGTGAGAGTGAGGAGTGAGATGGGAATGAGGGATTTGGGGGTGGGAAGGGGTGAGAAGTACAAGCTCTGGGAGGGAATTTGGATGCAGGAGAAGGGGCTGTTGACTCAGGGAGGGGGCTCTAGGCTGGAGAGTGTTGGGTTCAGGTGAAAAGTTGGGGTGCTGAGCAAGCCAGGGCTTGTGGATGTGAGGGTGCAGGAGTTTGGACTGGATATGTGAGGGACTCAGGGCAAGGAGTTTGCGAATATGATGGGCTCAGGACACAGATTTGTGATGTGTGGATGGGGCAGGAGAGTTGTGGCAGAAGATTGAGGATGTGGGGGTGCAGGAGTGTGGGGATGTAAGAGGCTCAGGACAGGGGTTCCAGTGTATGATAGGCTCAGATTTGGGGTCAGGTGGTGCAGGAGTGTTATGATGCTACAGTGAAATGGGGGTCTGGTCCCAATTGGGGTCTTGTTGGCCTGGCTTCATTTTTAAATAAAATATTATGTCAAACTCAAAAGGTTTAGCATTGTCTTTATATGCGAGAGGGGTGAGGAACCTGTTTTGAGTCAAAGGTCACTGACCCACAGAAAAGTCAGTTGGGGCCACACAAGTGAGATGCAAAAAACCAAAAAAAAGCTCCTCCAAAAACCCCCAAGCCTCACTAATGTGGTCCCAAATGTGCTGGTGGGGGTAGGGGACAGAGTACTGGCTCAGGTGACATGGTGCTGGGGCAAGGTGCTGGGGCAGGCAGGTGGCAGGGTGCTGGGGTCAGGGACGTGGTCCTGCTGGGCACTAGGGTGACTGGCAGGGTGCTGGGACAAGGAACAGGGTGCTGCTGGGTGCTAGCATGGATGGCAGGGTGCTGGGGCCAGGGCCAGGGTGGTGCTGAGTCTTGGGGTGTGAGGCAAGGTGCTGGGGCCAGGGCGGTGCGAGGGTGGATGGCAGGGTTGCCAAGGAGCGGGATAGGGATGGGGTGCAGGATCTGGGAAGGAGGTGGGGGGCGGAAGGGGACAAGGTCTGGGTGGTAGGTAGGGTGCAGAAGCAGGCTGGCTGTAGGGTGTTTGGCCCGGGGGAGAGAGCAGGAGCAAATTGGGGGTAGGGTGTCTGGCTACGAGGGAGGGTGCAAGGAGGGGACTTGGGCAGGAGTTGGACCTCCCTGATCTGGCACCCTCTGGACCTGACTGGTCCCAGATGAGGAATTTTTGGTCCAGGGGAGGTAATTTCAGGACTCCTGGTCCCCCCCCCCTTCCCCCATCCCCACTAGGCTTATTTGCACCTCTATCTCCTGCAACCAAACTGAGCTGCCCACCCCTGCTGGTTCCCTGCATCTCCCCCAAAACCATCCCTCACAATCCAAGGGAGTGCAGCACCAGTTCCCTGCAGCCCAGCTGAGCT